GAATGTGTCAGACAGTTGGAGAAGGCACGTTCACCTCGACCCACTTGCTGCAGGTGGGATGCAGTTGAGTCACCTCCCTCCCCTCAGATCACACTCGGATGTCATGTCTCCCTGTCGGAAACAAAGTTGTTTCCGGAAAGGAAGTCATATAAGAGGCAGGAGGGCGGTGAGGAATCAGGATCTGCAGGTTGCCTAGTCAAAACAAGGCCTCTTTTGCTGTCTGGTGATGGTTTGGGGGTGGAAACGTGAGGCATGACCGGAAAGGGGGCCCACAGGAACACAAATAACGAGAACCGAACTTAAATATTAGGTCTACAAAAACAAGACCTAAATATTGTGGCTGTGGAGCAGAAGGTTCCGTCCAGACTGCAGACCTGGACTTACCCAATTATTTTATACTTATTTTATAACAGAATTTATCAGTTTTTAATCACACTCATTTGACACTCTCTCGTGTCAAGTAAACTGTTTCAACTGTTTCAATAAAATGAAATGAAATGGGGAAAAAAACTTAAGAAAAAATATTCAGCATTGTCAGCCTGACAGTCCATCAGCAAAAAATAATTATTAATGCACTAATCTAAAGATTTGGATCCATATTTGCTATTAATATCAAAGTTACGGCTGATCATCGATATTTAAAGACACAGTTGAAGCCAGAATTTTGCATACACTATATAAAAAAAGACATGCAATTTTTTCCCACATTGTCTGATGTGAAATCAGAATTAACATTTCCCTTTAGGTCAATTAGGACTACCAAAATGTTTTCTATTTGCTTGAATAATAAAAAATTGTCTTAAATTTTCTACTTTTCATTGCTCTGGCATTTAGCAAACAGTAAAATGCTGTATAATAGACAGAGCATATTTCTGAAGAGTTAATATTAAATAAATTCAAATGATTGTTTTCAGATTTGTATTAACTGATTTAAAAACATTTTAAATAATATTAGTTTTTTTAAAAAATCCAATCCTGAAACTGAAGGTATGATATCAAATCTCGGCAACGTGATTCTGAAACTCCTGCAGTAAATCTTATTTCCAGGAGTTATTTGTGTCGGGGTTCTTAAAAATGTTTCAACATTTTTGAAAACCTCAGAGCTGACAAGCTGCTAACCTCCTGGTGTGGGAAGAGGAAACAGAAAAGTTGTGTTTGAGTAGATAGTGTGATGAATTGCAACATTCAAACCGTTCGCCCATGAAATTGCTCTTCCATCTTTTATTACAAAGAAACACCACAAACAGTGGGCTGCTGTTTTGAAAGCCACTTTCAGATTTGATCTTTATCATGCCTTATGTTACTGAATCATCAAGATCAAGAGAACATTTTATGAGAAAAAGATTGATAGAAAATTTCTCAAGTGCCCATTCTGTCAGAGGAAAAAACGAGAACTCATGTGGATGGACTCTTTATTGTTTTTTTTTTTTTCTGCCCGACTCCACTGAAAACTCCACTCAAATTACAGGATAATGAAAATATGAGGGTAAAATAATCTAATTTGTCGAGTAGGCTGTCTCAAACTCAGAGCTTGAGAAAAATATAATGTTCTGCTAACTGTTTACACTCAAACTTAGAGAAAACAGCTGCACTCTTAATACAAAAGCTAAAAAGCAATACATAATGTTTCCATATTTGCTCAATTTAACTTGGTATTCCTCCAGATCATATGGTTATCTCCTGCTTCTGTTTTTCTACTCTCGCATCCAGAAAGGAAATCCCCAGAGACAGACCAGGCAAAGATAAATCTGGTGTCTTTTCAACCAAAAGGGCAAATTTCACTCTGCTTCTCATTGAACTTTACTAGCAATCGATGGCAGCACAAATCAAAATGGAGACTTGGCTGGACGGGTTGATAATCCTGCATGAGTGCAGCTTTTAACACATAGACCTTTTTTTGGATTGCTCAAAAGGATATTTTAGTCAGATACGTTTCTGTGGGTTCTTTACGGTAACCACACATCTTCAGGCTGTATCAGGTACTTGTAAATCCTGTTGCAGTCTTACATTCTTCCCCTACAGTTTACATCTTCTTTTTGTATTATTGCTCTCAACACAGATTATGAGGGTAAAAGGAATATGAGTTTCCTTTAACCCTGTAGCCTGAATTTTCTTCCTCATTTAAAAGTCATACTGGACAAAAACAGTTAAAATGCAAATGCATAAACAGAAGTAACCGAATGAGCAAAGAGCAGGAAGAACAACTACTGAGGATCCCCTGCAGTTACTATTTCCAATTCTCTTTACTTTATTATGCAGTTTGCATGTATAGCATTATGGCATTAAATAAGGACATTAACCTACAGCAGACGGGCCGTTAGCATTTTGTGAATATGTCTGTTGCAGTAATCAAGAAATCAATTAATCACCTGATAAATTAAAATTACCTCAATAATTTCCATTTGTGTGATTTGTCGTTTTTCTCTTTTTTCAGCAAAAACTGGAGGACAAAAGTCTTCAGTCTAGTGCATTGATTTTTTTTATGAATGTAAAGAGCATTGGACATAAGTAACCCCCCTTCGAATATTGACAAATCAACCACTGCACACCGTAAAATTATGTGGGAATTTATGAATGAACCTGGCCAATGAGTGAGAAGTCCCACTTATAGGTCCTTTTAGGAAGGACAAAGAGACCTTCTTGCATATTAAAAAAGACCTGAACAAGACACTAGATGGAAAGTGCAGAGTGGATTTTGTATTCTTGCATAATCAGTTGTTAGTTTCCTCATGCCGGCATTGTTTTTATGAGCACATATCATTGCTATGATATGATGCCTGCTCTGGTGGTTTACATGTTGGCTTTGAAAGAAGCTCAGTTTCATAGCTCATCACTGATCTTTTTTACGAAGGCCTTGCGTTTGCCTCAGTGGATGCTCAGGGCTGCACCAGCCTCAGGTTAACTTCTCTCTTATCCTGCCTTAACCCTGACATAAATCACAGGCACGTCAAACTCAGCTTGAAACTGTTTTATAAAGGTGAGTTGGATATGCATCCAAAATCTTTCAGTATTCTCCAGACACATTTTTTGTCACAATAACTAAACATTATTCAAATAAGGACAATAATCTCAACCCTAGAAGGTGCAGTAAAAGCAGATCATGGCAGATTTTATTTTCAACATGCATTCAAGATGATCGATGCTCCAGTGCCTGAGGACATGCTGTGGCTCTACACCTTTATTTAATGGCATATCATAAAAATCTATAATTCAACAGCTCTATTAAGGAATTGATGGCCTCGCAATTCTAAGAACAGAGGGAGGAAGTATCTTAATACATCATATAAGTCATTAAGTTCCTTTGAAGTGACTTTGGGATATAATGAGATGAAAATACATTAAGCTAATTTGGGGGCTTGAAAAGTCCATTATAAACCAACAACTCAATGCTTTTTTTTTTTTTTTTTAACGCTCAAACAAGCACCTTGGTTCCTATGTCAATCGCCCTACAAATAACATCTACTCTCTAAGATCAAAGTAAAGAGATAATTTATCTCTTTGCAGGATCTGGGCAAAGTTCACAATTTTACTTGAACAACACAAAGCCAAGCTGCTGACAATGATTAATAAAAAAAAAAGCCTGTTTTTCATGAAACCTTGTAACGAACTGACTCCAAGCAATGGAGTATTAATGTCTGCACATGTTCAGACACAGCTGCGTCCTAATTCCATGTGAAGAACAAGTACAGGCAGTCCTGAACACTGCACTACTTATCTAAACAGGGAACTGGCAGCAGTAAAAAATGGAGACAAGACTTGGAATATGTTGAAGTGAAAGTTGTGAACAGCTGAAATGTTAAAACCAATCACAAACAGTTAAGGGTAATCCTGACAGCACATTAAGCGGTTAACTTTGTTTTATCTCCCAGTCCCATTAAAACACCATGTGTGCAGAAATTAGTGCCAAATATTAATTTTGCTAAATTGCACGTGTGATTTGCACAAGCATCCGTTCTGTCATTATATATGCCCCTGGCTTGCTAGGTTTCCTGCCTACTGCACTAAGGGTAAGTAACCAAACCGGTGCACAAAAAGCATGCACATATTATTATGAGAGAGCTGATGTGCATTCATATGCGATACAAACCAAACTGACAACATGCGAGTCTGATGTGAAACGCGGCGGGGCTGAGGGTGGCTGCACTGAGCTTTCCGATCAATATCTGTGCCATCAGTGAGGCTGGACGACCATTATCACCAGTGAGCCAAGTAAAGTGACTCTGATGTGGAATGACAGGGAGCTTTCACAGAATCTGTCCTACCATTCCTCTCATGGCCAAACACTCACACATGAATACTCCACACTGCAGCTTCCCCTCACTAGGCAACCATGTACAGTCACACAATGTATTTATTTGTTTCCTTTGTTTTCCAGTCATTTCATTTTTTGGACATATCTGTGGAGACACTGTATTTTGCTCAAAGCCATGTGTTCCAACTTAGGTAAAATGTTGTAAGTTATGAGGCAACACTGCACTGGATGCCTTAAAATGCAGAGTATCAACAGTAAAAGAAAGGAAACAGTGTGATCTTAATTAGAAATAAAATATACAGAAAAAAAAATGCATTGACACCCGATACAAAATTCGATATGACTGTTTGACATGGATGCTGTCTTGCAAAGTTATCAAAACACCCTCATGTTAACAGACTGCACATATTGGTTATATATATTATTGTTTTATATCAATAACTGAGGATGTTGTACACAGATTTGCATATTTTAGATAAAGGGTTTAGTTCGTATTTAACTATGCCATCACCATCACACACATGGGTGTTTTGTGTGTTGAGTAATCTGCTCTAATGTTGGTCACCTGGATGTTTTGTCAGTGCATCATTCAGCTTCCTGTTTATCCCTGAAACCTATTAATTGCATCCCAACTGATAACAAGGAGAGGAGTGATTAAGCAAACCCATCCAAGCCCACATCAAACTTTTTTTCTTTTTTTCAATAGGATTATTTTGGGCATGTTGAATCATACTGACACATCCCTTACCTCTCTCCTCCTGCTCTCCGCCCCGAGTCTGGTGATGAGCGCCGTCTCGCCGCACACCACTGCCGCGTCCTCCACGAACACGCAGTCCGGGAGCGACTCGTCCGCGGGCAGCTCCACCACCTCCAGCCCGAGCCTCGTCCGCAGCACCTCGACGTACGCCTCGTATTCGGTCCGCGCCCTTGTCAAGTCCACCTCCGCCTGGCTGGTCCTGAGCGCCTCTTTGGCCAGGGACGCGGGGATTCCCCGGACAACCGCATGGGTGTAGTGACCAAAACCTGCCATCAAACCAGCCATGTTTTCGCTTTCCTCCTTTTCTCTCTCTTGGCACGCACAAATCTGGGCAAAAGGGATTGGGGGAAAAAAAACCACACACCCTAAGAGACAATTCGGCGAATGAATAAGAAAAAAAAAAGCCACCTTGTTGACGCAATGCTGCCTGTCTTGCTTATTTTCAGTCAGTTTGTTGGGTTTTTATTCTTTATTTACAACAGCCTGCAACACACAGTGTCAGTCAGCCGAGCTCCAGTCTCTGGGCGAGCGACAGCTTTCGGTGACGCGCGCCGATCATCACGTGTAGCGCGACGAGGCTGTCAGCCCTCAGAGGCGATCAATCCAACAAGTGACAGAACCGCACAAAGCTGATGGATTAATCAGCTTCACACTGTCTCAGCGCAGCAGAGCCTTCAAATCAAAGGACTGCTGGAGTAAAAAGCCTTGATTTATTTATTTATTTATTTATTTTCAAACTGTCCCTGTGTCAGTGCATGGTATTACCCACAACCAGTGTCTCACTGTTAACATATTTACAAAAATGAAGTAGTTTGTGAAATTAATAATTGTTTTCGTTTTAATTATTTGCAAAAAGAAAATGTGCAACGTTAACCAAGCTTTGCTGGTTAGTCAAACAGTAATTCTTGGAAATGAACAAAGAAGCAGAACAGTTACTTAGCCCAAATACCTTTATACCAGAATAAGTTAATCTTTTATATAGATTAACTTGTTTCTTCTGACTGGCGTTTTAGGAGTATTTCGATTGCCATGAACAAAGTCCTGATTGGAATCCAATTCAAATTATCTGGAGAGAGTTAAAGAATAGGGTGACAACGCAGAGGCCTCAATCCTTAAAGATCTTTGGACTTGAGGTCAAAATAGTAAAAAGAAACATACAAAATCCTGGTCCTGGTCATGATCCTTTTATTGCTGCAATACAATTAAGGATTTCTCTGTTGACTATCCAGAAGGACCCCTCTTATTTAATATTTATATTCTCCCACTAGCTCAGGTCATAACAGGAAATAATATTAGCTACCACAACTATGCGGATGACACACAGCTCTACATTACGATGTCACCAGGTGACTCTGAACCCATCCAATCACTGAATAAATGCTTAGAGCAGATAAATGTGTGGATGTGCCAAAACTTTCTCCAACTGAACAAAAATAAAACTGAAGTCATTATTTTTGGACCTAAAGAGGAACGATCTAGAGTCAATGCACAGCTTCAGTTATTACAACTAAAACCTAGCGATCAGGCCCGAAACCTGGGAGTAGTGATGGACTCGGACTTGAACCTCCAGAGCCACATAAAGACAGTAACAAAATCGGCCTTCTATCACCTGAAGAACATCTCCAGGATTAGAGGACTAATGTCTCAGCCAGATCTAGAAAACTCATTCATGCGTTTGTCTTTAGTCGCATTGATTATTGCAACAGCGTCTTCACAGGCCTGTCCAACAAATCAATCAAACAGCTGCAACTGATCCAGAATGCTGCTGCTCGCGTTCTCACTAGAACCAGGAAAATAGAGCACATAACACCAGTTTTAAAGTCCCTCCACTGGCTCCCTGTAGCTCAAAGAATAGATTTTAAAATACTGTTGTTAATTTACAAATCACTGAATGGTTTGGCACCACAATACATCAAAGAGCTGCTGTTGTTGTATCAACCTTCCAGACCTCTCAGGTCTTCTGGTTCTGGTCTGCTCTGCATCCCCAGAACCAGAACCAAGAGAGGAGAAGCAGCTTTCAGCATCTATGGACCAAAAACTTGGAACAAACTTCCAGAAAACTGTAAAACAGCGGAAACCCTGACTTCCTTCAAATCTCAAGTAAAAACACACCTGTTTAGAGTTGCATTTGAAATGTAATATGTATGGATTTGATTTTGTGGATATGTATGTAGTTGTTTTTTTTTTTTTTTTTTTTTTTTTTTTTCCTGTTGTGGGCAACGGGGCCCGGCGAATACCCGTGGTTAAACGGACGGCGGAGTCCGGCGGTAACAGGCGCTTAAATTCCGTGTCAAAGGGAAGGGGGGGGAAAAAAAAAAAAAAACCTTGGTATTTTATTCTATGTTGCATGCCTTGTGTTTTGTGTTTATGATGTAAAGCACTTTGAAATGCCTTGTAGCTGAAATGTGCTATACAAATAAAATTTGATTGATTTGATTGATTGATTAAAAAGATCCCCCCAAAAAATCTAACTTGCTCCTTGTTTTTAATTATTTATATATATAGCAAATTTTACAAACCAGATCTACCACACCAGACAAGACCCAAGGTGTAGGTTGTGCAAGGAGGCCCCTGAGACAGTCCAGCACATAAGAGCAGGGTGCAAGATACTGGCAGGGAAAGCGTACATGGAGCGACATAACCAAGTGGCAGGCATAGTGTACAGAAACATCTGTGCAGAATATGGACTGGAAACCCCGAGATCAAAGTGGGAAACACCCCCAAAGGTGGTGGAGAACGCCAGAGCTAAGATCCTGTGGGACTTCCAGATCCAGACAGACAGAATGGTAATGGCGAACCAACCAGACATTGTCGTTGTGGATAAACAACAGAGGAAAGCCGTTGTGGTAGATGTAGCAATACCAAGTGATTGCAACATCAGGAAAAAGGAGCACGAGAAACTGGAGAAATACCAGGACCTCAGGGAAGAACTGGAGAGGGCCTGGAAGGTGAAGACCACAGTGGTGCCTGTGGTCATTGGGGAATTTTTTTTATCCTTATCTTCTTTTTACATTGTTGAGTTATATTCTGAGAGATACCTGAAGTTTGTTTCTGACAAGAAACAAACTTTTTGGTTGAATAAAACTCATTTTAAGCAAAAATTTCAGTTGGGAAATACTATTTTTGGGCTCACCTGTAGATGTTGTTGTCAACTTCTTCATCACATCTCAGAATAAGAGAAAAAAAAAAGAAAAAATGAGGGCCTTCAAATCAGAGAACCAACAATGACAACAAGACCAAGAAAAATCCTAGACAGGTGAGGGATAATGTTGTCAAAAAGTTTAAAGCAGCTTTAGGTCATAAAACAATATCCCAAGCTTTGATTATCTCACAGAGCAACATCCATCCATCATTCAAAAATGTAAAGAGTGTGACACAATTGAAAACTGACCAGATAAATGGACTAGCAAGGAGAGCATTATATAGAGAAGCCACTGAGAGGCCATGGCAACTGCAGGAGCTACTGAAATGCTCCGCTCAGGTGGTCAAATCTCTTATTAGGACGTCTATTTGGCATCGAAGGCATTGTTAAGAACAAGCCACAAGGTCTTGTCCACAGCAGCTAGAACCAAAATGATATTTTTTGGCCTAGAAACACTGGACAGCAGCCTGAAGGACATCGCTCTGAGTTTGAAATGAGGTGGTGGCAGCATCATGCTGTGGAGATTCTTTTGTTCAGTAGCTTCTGTGAACTTGGTCAGAGTTGATGAAAAGATGGATCAAACTACTTCAACTCTTGAAGAATACCTACATGAGGTATAACATCTACAATAACCTTGAGCTTCAAGTGGAGGTTCACCTTAATGAAGTTGTTAATATAAAAGTTACATTTATCTTTAAGCGGGAAAAAAATGAATGACAACAGCCACATGCATATCAACATAAAACAAGAAGTTCAAATACTAGAAAAACAAATGTATCCTTACTTGATTACTGCAGCACAGATTTTCATTATTCCAGCCATGTTCAATAAAATGCTTTTCAAAAGCAAGAAGATAAGAGCACAGCGTCATTCTTCAACCCAATGTTTAAAAGCTTTGCTCTTGGCAGACTTCAAGCGAAAAACACACTCAAACTTCAAGGGCAAAGAATATCAAAAGGGGCTTTCTGCTTGTGTGAAGTGTAGGGCAAGTATGGGAGGAATGGCGGGCGGGCGGGGGCTTCTATTCCCTACAGTGCCATCTAAGGAAGGTTTTGGGCCTGGCGAAGCCGTCTGAATGGATGGAATGTTTTGTTCAGACGTCCCAGAAGCACTTTTTTTCCACCGCAAGATCTCGGTTTGTCTTTTCTTGTTCCAGATTCACTCAATTATCCTCAACTGTGCTAAACATTCCAGCACATTCTGAGGAGCCCCACATTCCATTTTCCACTCCAGCCAGGATCACCAAACTCTGCCCACCCTCTTCCCAATACCAGCACCTGCCCCCTGCTCACCCCCCTTTCTTTTCCATCATTCTTGGTTCTGAATGGATAATGTTTAAGTTTTTTTTCCCTCTTTGAATAGAAGTGAGTTTTCTTACTTTTATTTCTCTATAACAGAGGATGGAGGGCTGATGTTTATTTTAAATCCCTTCCTTTACATCGTTTATTACTTTCCAGAAGGTAGACTAGCTTTGAGATGTTGTTGTGTGAAAAACATTGTTCTGTCTCCATTTTCATCAAATTTCCAATCCAGATTTGACATAAAAGTAACTCAACACAAATCAATCATTTTCAATGATTGTGCCAGAGCAACTGGAAAATAAATCAATATCCAATTAACATTCGTCCTACTTTATGAAGACACATTTAAAATCTTGTTACAGTTTTACAGAAAAAAGTTATGAAGTTGTTCTGCCACCAGAAACTGTCAAGAATGAAGTCAGGTGAATTAGAGGTTCTGATTTATCAATGTCTTAAGATATAATGTAAAAAACAAAAATTTGAGTTTTCCTTTGTGATTGACACAACAATTGTAAATGTTTTTGTTTGTTTTTTCAGCTGAGAAAATGCAAAAATGTTGAAGGGATATGAATTCTTTTGCAAGGTGATGGCTTACTTATAAGGTGTGTATTTGTTAATGTTAGGGGCTGATCAGCTCGAGTTCTTGACAAATGGAAAGCAGCATAATGATGCTGAATTTTGGTATTTAGCATCACAGCTGACAGCACACATTCCTCACAGTGGGGCAATATGTGCTTTCCACATATTAAACCTGACACCAAAGACTTAAACCAGTGCTTCTCAAATAGTGGGGCGGGCCCCCTTTGGGGGGCGCGGTGCGATACCTGGGGGGGCGCGTGTGATACTGGGGAACAGGCTTTTTTTTGGCCGTACTAGTATAAAGTGTAATTGCGCACAGTAGGCGGCAGTGGCGCTCTCATTGTTACTTCTGTCACGTTTGCGACAGTGCAACATTTCATGACTTACAAGACAACAGGTTTGCCTTGGTTAGCAGTGTTAAGTCAACAAAAAGCTCCGACTGCGTTCTGTCTATGGCCTCCGTTATTCAACAACCCCCAACATGAAAAAGTTTTTCACAGGGATGAAAAGAAACGCGGAGAGAGACAAAGATAATGAGACAACAGAAAGTCAACCGAAAGCTAAGAAGAGGAAATACGACGAAGCGTATTTAGCGCTTGGCTTCACTGTGACTACAGTTGGAGAAGAGGAAAGACCGGTGTGTTTGCTGTGTCTAAAAATGCTCGCAGCGGACAGCATGAAGCCAAATAAATTAGCGCGTCACTTAAATACGTTACATCCCAATCACGCCGATAAGCCGCTAGAGTTTTTTCAGCGAAAAAAATGTTAATAAGGAAAAAATGTTATGCAGAGATGGATAGTCACGGTGGGGAATGGGGGGCGCGAATAGTTTCTTCTTGCTAGGGGGGGCGTAACGAAAATAATTGAGAAGCACTGACTTAAACACACCCAATCATAATTACATTTTCTTTTCAACATCTAAGCAGAAAATTTGGATCTGTCACATTAGGAATGCCTTAGAATATCATTTTTAAAATGTCAACAATTTGTCTAAGTATGTAAGCTGGGGAAAGTGCATTTTTGCTGCTTTAAACTCTACCAACATGATACAAGAAGAAAACATAAATAATATGCGCTAGAAGGTGTTATGATTCACAGTTTTATTAAGCTGTTTTAGTATTATTTGCTCCTGTAATTCATATTTTCTGTCAGCTTTTTAAAAATTGAATTTTATTTCTTTGTTGAAATAAACGTCACTTTCTACTTCACTTATTCCCTAACAAACCTCCCTTTTGTTAGGGACCAGGCATCTTTTGTCATCCCACAAAGAGTGTTTCTGGGGAGGCAGGGTTGCACCAGGAACCAGGAAGCCTTCCTGATTCCTGGTTTTCCAACCATGTGATTAATATTAGAGATATGTGACAAAAATGTTGTCCTAATTGATAAGCAGCAAAAATTGACCTGACCCACAGGCATGATCATTTCCGAGCTGTGCTCAGCAGCTATCTATGGGAGTTTATATTTGATTACTGCCTCTACAATCAGCTGTAGAGGCATGATAAATGATAAAAGAAAAAAAAAAACAGATTGCTCTGACAGGATATGCATCTGATCTGACCTGCAGGCATCAGGCTCTTTATTCCACTTTCTGGGGAAATACCCATTCTCTTCAGCTTATCACTTCTCAGAGATTTTAATGCACATTTTTTACTTTGATTATTTTGACAGTCAGTCAGGGTATGTAATGCTTTTGGAATAAAACTCTATCTGCTCTCTCTGTCATCTCAGTACCACACAACCATATGACAAGGGAGCACACATATTGTGTAATAGGTTTTGGTAAATAGTCTTTCATTTGTTACTTGTATTTATTGTTGAAATAATCAGTTTTTATGGCCCCTGTAAAAGCAAGATATCAACAGGGTTCATCTTGGATTGCATCTTAATCCTTTGCAGTGAAACTGTATCATAAACAGATTCAGTAAAAACGGACTGTACATATTAACTTCTGCCTTCTGTCAGTGTTTAAAGGTCTGCGTTTCTTCAGCGTTTGACTCTGCTTTGATTGTTGGATTCATTCTGGCAGCCACTCTTAAGAGAGCAGACCATAATTTTTTGGACTTCCGGCTGTTCCATGTCCTGACACTGAAAGGATGTGTTGCTTATGCACAAAGTATTCTGCTTATGATATTCAATCCTGACAATGCCACAGTGGAATCTATTGTCCAAACATGTGACACCGTCCTGTTCTGTTTCCCTGACTGCAGAGGCTGGTGGGCTGCTGGCCACAGACTTCCTCAGCAATGATTATGAGAGTTGCTGTCTTCTGAACTGTGGGATGTGACAACAGGTTTCCATTACACTGAGATATAAGGAGTCACGCAATGTTTTGGATTGGGATGAACAGTGAATTTTCTTAAACGTCTCCTTTGGAGACAGAGAAGCTGCAGGGAACATTGAAGAACATTTAGGAAGATTTAAATATGGTCTCTATGGTGTGATGTATAAGTTATGAAGGTTCTCAAAAAGCCTGAATGGAAACTATTTTGCAACTGGGACAAAGAAACACACATTGGCCTTCTGGAATGTTTCCTGAATGTTATTTTTCCTTTGACGTACAATGAAAACACTATTTCCTGTCACATTGACAAAGAGCCGGCAGCACAAACATGTAAACTCATTCACACCTCTTAAAATATTTTCCTATTTTGTCACATTACAATGACAAAAAAAAAAAAAAAAAAAAAAAAAGCTACACTATTGTGATACTTTGAGATAAACCAACACAAGGTTGTGCATAATCCTGAATGAAAAGGAAAATAATATACGGTTATCAAACTTTCTCACCATTAAAAAAGCTGAAAGATTTGGCATGAAACTGTTGTCATTTTCTTTTAATCTGACTGCCCTAAATAAAATGCGATAAATTAAATAACCTTCACAATCCATTGTTAACAAGACAACATGTGAAATATGGTGTTGGCAGCATCATGTTGTGGGGATGCCCTCCCTCTGCAAAGAAACAGGTCAAAGTTATTGGGAAGATCAAACAATCTCAGCATAAGTTGATTCAGAAACACAACCTGTTTGAGATTTGCCTCTAACGTCACAATCATGAAATAACTTTGCTGACCCTTTTCACAAACTCACAATTAAAAAATATTTAAGAAGTATCTACTTTTGCAAAGTACTATGAAATACTTTGCAGATCAAGTGCGTTGCATTCCAGGACAGCACAACACACATGTGCTCAAAAGACACACCCCCTACCCTAACCGACTGCGTGCACACGCACACTCACGCACTCTCACGCACTCGCATGCACTTATAAGGTTGTTTCATTGAGTGCAAACAGACATCAGCAGATGGTTTACAGTACAACCACAAAGATATGCCCTGCAAGTCCGAAAATAAAAAATACATCATCCTCCAAACTCATCCCGTCACATCACCATCTAGTGTCCTCAACTGGAAGTATGAAAACTATGAAAGGAAAAGAAAATCCAGTCTAAGACATTTTGCGCAGAGGGGGAAATGTTTCAATACTTTATTTTAACAAGTAATATTGAATATTTCCTTTTGATTAATTCTTTTTTAAAAAGATATCACATACATGTAAAGGAAAAGGTGCTAAAATATACTTAATACTGGACAGAGTAAAAAAAAATAAAAAAAAATGTATATATATATATATATATATATATATATATATATATATATATATATATATATATATATATATATTATATATATATATATATATAACGAACAAACAAGACAACAAATCCAAACTCACCAGTGAGGCGCATCTTGGTCGGTGCTGCATTTGAAGTAATTTAAAACAAATATAAAAGACTATGTCGAGATAGAAATGGTAAAAGTTCATATTCTTATAAACGTTTTGGGAGACTACCGGCTGTTTAAAGCATTATGTTGTTGCGTCTTTACGCACAGCTTTCCCAACTGGTTGAAAACTACCCATAAATCGAAATCGTTTCATGTAGCAGGGTCTTACTGAGGTAAAAGGCAGGCAAGTATTTTTCTGTACTCCCCACCACCAACATCATGTGGAAAGATGGACACACAAAAGGACGAGATTTCTTCCCCACCCAGCAAAAAGTGGACAGTTTGTGTGAAAAGTCAGGAAAACCCAAGGAATGAGTGCAAAAAAAAAAAAAAAAAAAGAATCTCCCTGCGTGGGGAACATATTTTACCAGCATTTAAGCTGTCAGGAATGCCGGCCAAAGAGGGAGAAATATGTTAATTATGTAGGCTACTGCCATACCAAATATGGCAATATTGTTACGTCTGAGCTCTTGGTGCGCATCTGGAAACGCTTAGACTTCTCTGAATAAAGGCACCGGAGAGCCAGAAATAGACGCTGTTAAACGTATTTCTGCCCACACCTTAAACACTAACAGAGAGAAAAAAAAAACATTTTTACTTTAAACATGGTTCGATCTGCATAAGCCATACGGGATTAATCACTGATAGTAGCCAAATTAAGGTGAAAGCAACACTTTTTTCACCCAGCTGCAGATTTGTTTAGATTTGAGAGGCACTTGTTTATATTATTTTACAGCGTCGTGCTTTTTTTTGTTTGTTTGTTTTTTTCTTAATTTAGAGAACTAAATAAAACTACAAATGTTTCACAGGGTAATCACACATGCTCGGAAGTATCTTAGGTAATATGTTTGAGAAGAAAAGTGCCAAGTTGATAGACGTGAAAAGCAAGAAGAGGAAGAAAATGAAAGAGAGAATAAACAAGTTGAGAAAATATGGGAAAGAGTATTGAGATGAGATCCAAGAGGAAGGGGAATCTATCTGAACAAGAAAAAAAGAGAAAGGTATAGACAGGGTGGAGCTTCGGTCTTGGATGGAAAATGCGCCGAGAAACATTCCTGGCATAGTTTGGCCGACTTTCAGCGGGGACGACGTCAGCTTCCCAGGAACCAATATAAGCGCGGAGGTGGCCAGACTGCAGCAGACAGCAACTGCTTTACTGAGAGCCTCATCTGCTCTAAACGAGCCTCTAACGCTACAAAGACTACCACCAAACAAGACAGCCAAGCGACCGAGACAGGGAATACTACCGGGCGCAGACTTTTCACAAGGATTCCTCTTTACGCACAAAGAAATGTTGTCCAAGATGCTGATGGCTACCATCTCTACTTTTTTCTTCCTCGCAAGCCTTCACGTGGTGAGTTTTTATTCGTTATTTTCATTTTAACAGATGCTGTTCAGTCATTATGTTTGAGAAAAGAACGGCTTGTTCTTTCCTTTGGATTTGAGGTCCAGATTTAAAGTCTAAATCAAGATTTTTTCCCCCCCCGCGCAGGTCCTCTCCTCATCCTCCTCTTGCCCCTCCATGTGTGACTGCCCCTCGGAGATGCCCAAGTGCGCGCCGGGCGTGAGCGTGGTCCTGGACGGCTGCGGCTGCTGCAAGGTCTGCGCCAGGCAGCTGAATGAGGACTGCAGCCTGACCGAGCCCTGTGATCACACCAAAGGGCTGGAGTGTAACTTTGGGGCCAGTTTTGCTGCTGCTACAACTCGAGGCATCTGTCGTGGTATGTATTCAGACTACACTTGCTCTTTGAATTAGCCTGCAGTCTGTTTTCCCCTCTCTGTAAACGAGAGGAGTAGGAGCTAGGTGATTTCAACACTGTGGAATGCAAGTAGTCTAAACCTCAAAGCCCACTGTGGAGGGAGACTCCTCAGGCAGCCTGAATAATTTCTCAGTTGAACTGATCTTTATCTGGCAGCCATGTGATGTCTTTAGCAGAGATCTTTGAGAAGAGCAGGAAAGAATAACATTCCTTTCTTTCTGTTTTTCCCCCTCTTTCAGCCAAATCAGAGGGCAGACCCTGTGAGTACAATAGCAGGATCTACCAGAATGGAGAGAGCTTTCAGCCCAACTGTAAACACCAATGCACATGCATTGATGGAGCAGTGGGATGCATCCCGCTTTGTCCACAAGAGCTCTCCCTGCCCAACCTGGGCTGTGCCAATCCCAGGCTGGTGAAAGTTGCTGGCCAGTGCTGTGAAGAGTGGGTGTGCGATGATGGCAAGGAGATAGACATCTTAGAAAAGATCTTTGGCAAAGACATGCTGAGTGAAGAGCTGGAGAAAGACCTCACCAAGAAGAATGAGCTCATTGCAATTTTCAAAGGAGGACTCAAGTCCCTACCTGGTAAGAAATATTTCAGTCTATCTTTTCTGAATACTTGTAGGTTCTATCTTACTATTTGAAGCACATAATGATTTGCTAATTTGGTTTACTTCTTTTGTTCTCAGCATTCAGAGCAGAACCTGAAGTCCACAGGTTTGACAGTCAAAAGTGCATCGTCCAAACCACTCCTTGGTCCCATTGCTCCAAGAGCTGTGGAACCGGTATCTCCACCAGAGTCACCAACAACAACAGCGAGTGCAAGCTGGTCAAAGAGACACGAATCTGTGAAGTGCGCCCCTGCACCCAGTCACCTTACTCCAGTCTGAAGGTAAGCTTAAGCCAACCACAACTGAATGACATAGAAATATGCATGAAACAGAAAAAAAGATTGTACTGCTGGTTCTGTGCACACACCTGATCTCCATCTTCTTTTGTTGTTATCCCTCTACAGAAAGGAAAGAAGTGCAGCAGAACCAAAAAGTCCAGCCAGCCAGTGAAGTTCAACTATGCTGGTTGCTCCAGCTTGAAGAAGTACCGGCCCAGATACTGCGGGGCCTGCGTGGATGGTCGCTGCTGCAGTCCCCACGACACCAGAACCATCCGTGTCAAGTTCCGTTGTGAGGACGGCGAGACCTTCCACAAGAACGTCATGATGATTGAGTCCTGCAAGTGCACTTACAACTGTCCACATGCCAATGAAGCCTCCTACCCTTTCTACCGCCTCTCCAACGACATCCACAAATTCAGAGACTGATTGGTGAAGAGGATCCAAACCCCTCAGTGAGAAATAGATTAGCAGCATCATTGGCAGCCAATGGCAGTCTCGATGACTGCAGGGGTGAAGGCAGACCATCAGCCAACTACCATCTTCTTGTTGTAACTAGATTCCCAAGGAATTGTGGAATTACATCATGAGGACTTAATGAAGTGCACTGTTTGCTGTGACTACACCAGCATTCTTAACATGAATTGCTTCATATTACTGGAGCTGTGAAAGTAGCTTCGTCATGGAGCAGGTTGTAATTACTAATTGTACATTTACGCTAGATGCTGATATCAATTCACTGTGTATATTTTGATCCTTTCTCCAACATGACCCAGACTGTAGACTTGTGTGTGTATATGTTGATATGCACACGCGCAATTTCAATTAGCATACCATGGTATATCTTAAAGAACGAGACAACGAAATGTAACTCTGCGACTTGTCTAACAGGCGCGTAGTTTCATTCCTTCCTGACGTGGGCATTATTGTTCATGTTTTGTGGCAGCTATTGATGTCCCTTCATGAAAAAAAGACAAAGCGAAACATGTCAAAGGATGAATGTTTTTATTATTGTTATTAATATTATTTATCTAATAAATGTAGCTACTTTATTTGGATATTAGGTGTAATACTGGAATAAATTGTAAAATGATTTAATTTTATATGCAACAATAAAACTGATTTATTTATGAAATATTACACTTGCCTCCTTTGGTTCATTGAAAGTTTGCCATAGGATGGTACAAACATTCCACGCCACCCCTTCAAAAAAACAAAAACACAATGCTCACATGTGCAGAAGTGGGGGAGGATATCCAAAGAGGAACTCCTCAAGTTATGTCATTCTGTAAAGATTCTTAGGCAAACAATGAGCAGGGCCACTGCTTTTTTTATATAACCCAACCTTGGAGTCTCCCTCCACTGACTTTCTGTGCTTTGGAATGCCATTCTGCTGAGAGCTAGCTTGCTTTCACTTGATCTGTCCAAGCCATTCACTTGACTGATTCTGAGAAAGGTTCAGAGGGAGATTAAGTCCATGGGTAGCAATGAGTGCAGTAGTATGCCAAGAATCTTAAGTGCTGCTCTCAATGTGCTGGGATTAGACACCATGCAACATGGACAAAGACTATAATTGTGTACAATAGCCTGTATCTAATGAATGCATACCATGGTTTTTTTCTTCTCACATATAACAGCATAGTGCTACCAAATTGACCCAATTCATTAGCAGCTGCCTTTAAACATGAGTAAGCTTCATTGGTCTATAGAAGGTCTTAAACTGCAGGGGTCTGCTAAATAGTTGTAAACAGCCCTCAGGAGCAGACAAGGCTCGAGTCTCCCTTTTGGCTTTGGGTCAATCCACTCATTCGTCTGTTGGTACCCCGATTTTGTACCCACGTGCTACTAGCCTATACCCATCCACTTGACCATTGCATATCAGTTAACTTTCTCCTGATGTAAAGTGTTTCCATGAGAGATGTAGAAAAATCTTCAATATATTTTGGTTTAACTTTTCCCATCCACATTTGGGCTTGTTGCCCCTTGATCAAACTGACGTTACAGTGAGTACCCTGCTACTTGTACATATCTATTTATTGTAGGAGAAAAAACATTTCTTTACAATCAACTTTGAACATAGAAATTTTCTTTAAATGACTGTTTGTCAAAGCTGGTAGGAAATGTCATCCATTCCTTTCAGGTTTCAGATCAGCAGGCATTAGCAAATACTATCAAGGAGAAAAGTAAAGATGGGAGAAAATTTGATTGCTTTGTGCTTATCTACTACCACTGCACTAGACATAACCTCACACTGGAGCTGTGTTTTTTTATCATTTTATGGCCTACAATATCCATAAAAACTGCGTAACATAAACTTAATGATTAGAGAATCATTAACAACAAATCGCACAGAGGTGTTTTTATTTCTCCCCAGGTTTGATGTTT